CGCTTGCAAGACTACTTCCTAAGAGTCTAGTCATCTCCTATTTTGTTAATTAAATATGGAAACAAATACAAAAATAAGCATCTTATAGACAGACTACTTTTTACATTCGCAGAGGGACTTTGTACAGTCAATTTCTAATAAAAAAAAAGTGAGCTTCAGAATCTCACTTTGCTTCTATGACAACATTGTTACTTTTCAAAAACAGATTTAAGAGCAAACAAGAATTTACAGACTGTAGTACAAAACTTGTTTAACCTAAATAAGTTTCCAGGGACGTGCAATCTTAATACCTATCAGTGAATGTAGCACTGTAGCACTGTCCTCCCACTGTTCATGGATTTGCTCGAGTAGGCACCAGTAACGTCTCCATTGTGAGGCTTGTTGTTACTGTTTTGGGCATATCAAATACACCATAGGGAGCTTGCCAGGCTCTGCCGCGCAGGCGGGACACTCTCCGTAGCTTGCCGGGCTCTCCAAGAGGGACCGAGGAATTGAACCCGCGTGCAAGGCAAATGCCCTACCCGCTGTGCTATTGCTCCAGCCCTTAAGTGAATGACAATTATAAAAACTAACACCGTTTTAGATTATTTTACAACAGAGAACAAATGTCTCTCCAACATCAAGTATAACGTTAGAGATATCTTCAGGGCCAGAGGCACAGAACAGCAGAGATTGTACAGTAGAACATTTGCCTTCCACATACATGGTCCTCCCAGGTTTGATCAGACACCCCATCTGGTCTCCTGAGCATAGAGCCAGGAGTAATTCCTGAGCATCACCAGATGCGGTCCCCCAAATGAATAAGGTAGCACAAAATTAAAAGATAGAAACAGATTTTTAAAACGCTAGAAAAAATTCCTGCTACAAATACAAGCAAGATAGGAGAAAGAAATGTTAGAAAGAGACAGATGAGGCATTTAATTCAAAAAGAGCGCTTAAGTTTTAGGAAACAGTTTCAGGAAAAAAAAATATATTCCCCAGTAGGCGGTGTAATGAACTCATGAAAGTAGCAGTGGCAAGAATTAATAGTTCAGAAGTGTTAGAAGTACTAATCTCTTCTCTATTACTGCAAAGGTAGTAACTAAGTACCCATAATTTTTACTCAGAGGCGGAAAGCAAAGTATCTTCTTAAGTTACAATGAGAACTTGAGAATCAGAGGAAGAGGTTAGGAATGTACTAATCTAGAAAACAATAGCAAAGGAAAGGCCAGCTGAAACTGGCTGTACCATACCACATTTTCCCTACTTGTCGGTAAATGAGTTATTCAACAGAAAAAAGGTTCCCAAACATTCCTAAGTTTAACAGCCAAGTCCTGTGGCACATGCCTTGGTCATTTTCTATCAACAGAATTTTAAGTCAACAATTTTATGCATCTCTGATAATTATTAACTGTATATATCACTAGCAAGTATATTGAACTATTAAACTTAAAGCAGTCTTTCTAATAAACTACGATTCTGTATTGTGTTTCATGGCCAGCAAAATGTGAGAAGATAATTGAGAAAAATGTGGGTGTTTATGTACAAAGAGACTGCAAGTACTGCAGAACATGGTAACCATAGTAAATCCTCAGTCTACTTGGAATCTTTCGGCCAAAGGAATATATTTGCTATAGTCAATAATGAACTAATGAAAATACAGAACTGCTGTATGTTATCTCGAAAGGTAAAAAATTATTTATTGATTTTCATTTACAATAATTTCTGAATACAATTACTTCTACACTGCAAAATAAAAAGTCCGATAAGAAAAAATGTGCAGACCCATAGAAAATAACAGGGATGCCACTGCTACACAGGCCATCCCAAACGCATTTGCAGAAGGCAGTTCAATGAACTTAACAACATGCACTTGAAACAAGTTCTCCCTTGTCTCGGGTCCCTCTGTCCTCGCTCAGTTTATGACACTAACCAAGCTTATACAATTGCTTGACTACTCAAAACCACAACCTTTCTCTGTGGTTAATATATATGCATGTATGTATGTATGTATAGACACACACACACACAAACACATACACACATATATATATGAGTCAAACCCAACCAAACTGCCAGTTTCAAAAGATGTGTTGTCAAACAACTATATACTGACATATATACTTTTATATATGTATGTGTGTGTGTGTGTATATATATATATATATATATATATATATATGAACCACAGAGAGAGATTTGCTCTGATTATCTTTTTTTATTATTTTTTTATTTAAAGAACTGTGATTTACAAATCTATTGATAGTTGAGTTTTAGGCATATAATATTTCAACATCAATCCCACTGCCTGGACCAGTGTTTGCATATTCCTGTGATGATTAATTTGATGTGTCAACCTGACTGGATGCCCAGACGTTTGGCAAAAAAAAATCATTCTGGGTGTATCAGTAAGGGTGTTTCTAGCAGGTTTCCTTCTCCATGTTGGCAGGAAATACTGAAGGTTTAAACTGAATAAAAAAGCTGAACCGCCCATGATAGCAGGAAATTTCCTCCTGCCTGGCTGCCTTGAGCTGGGATATGTGTTCTTTCCTGACTCACACTGAAATACTGGCTCCTTCTGGCCTTCTGTCTGCCAGTACTCAGACTTGGAACTGTATTTTCAGTACTGTTGAATCTCTAGTATGCTGACTGCATGTAGATCTTGGGACCTGTCAGACCCCATAAATCACAGCACTCCGTGTAACAAATCTCTTTTTATACACATACACATTCTATTGGTTCTCTTTCTCTGGAAAACTCTAATAAACTGTAATAAATTAAGTAGGCACACTTAATATACTAAAATTTTAACAAAAATGAGGATAGAATGAACTGCATGGTGACAACAGTTAAAATACCACAATATACATTTGAAAGTTACAAAGAAAGGAAAATAAACTGTGGTGATAGAGATTAAATGGACTGAATGTGATCATCTTGCAATTTTACAACTAAGAAATCGGCATGGTTTATATCTGAAAGTAAAATGATGTGCCGATTTTATCAACTAAAAGGCTTCTAGTAAGTATTTAAGCATTTGAAAGGAACAATATATTAATGATGTCACTTGGCTTTAGAGGAGTCTAATTAAAAACCATTCCCAACATTTCATAGCATGCATCAAAAGTTTAAAACAATCTATAGTTGCTCAGCAAGTTTTATTCCCTGGTAAATATACACAAAAGATGTGATCAGTATTTATAGGCAAGATTTATGTGCTCAGGATACTGGATGCAGTAATATTTATGAGTCCAACACAGTCAAACTGCCAGTTTCAAAAGATGTGTTGTCAAACAACTACCCTAACTGACATTTTCAAAAGTTATTTAACGACATGGGAAAGTGATTTTAATGTAATGTTAATTATTAATATTAACTTTCTAATTCAGGGAGAAAAATCAAAATGCTGACAACAATGATTTCTGGACAAAAAAATTGATATTTTGTTGAATTTTAATTTCCTGTATTAAAATGTTACCTATAAAATTTTTAAAAATTGAATCTAAAACACTCTAAAATTTCGTTTAAAGAAAACCCTACTGTGTAACAAATTAAAGGGGTTGGATGATTGTACCGAAGGTAAGGCTTTTGCCTTGCATGATACAGGGTTCAATCCCCAGTATCCCATATGGTCCTCTAAGTCCTGCCAGGAATAATTCTGAGTGCAGGCCCAGGTGGGGCACAGAAACCAAAATAAGTAACAAATTTAAGATTTAAGGATGCTAGCGTTTGAAACAAGTCAGCACAACTTGCAATATCTTTAAGCAATTTAAAAGATTCTAAATTTCCTTCCTAAAATTCATAGAATGATGGCCTGATTCCCAAAGTATTTGGAAACGTAGAATTTAAAGAGGCGATTAGAGTTGAACAAAGGAGGGACTGAGACAATAATCCATCATGACGATTATTTTTCTAAGAAAAAAGGAAAGTGAAAACACAGAGGAAAAGACAAGGACACCGGGCAAAGGTGGATCTGGAAGCCAAGGAGAGAAATGAAAAAACAGCCTTATCTGCTAACATCCTGATGATCTTGGGCTTCCGTCCTCCAGAAATAAGAGAAAATAAATTTCTGTTGTTTGAGATACTGGTCTTTGGCATTTTGTCAAGGCAACCCTAAACAAACTAATATAAGATATAATGAAACATCATTATAAAACTTAATTGGTAGTCTTTGTTTTATAATCTATCTTCCCTAGGAAGAAGCGAACCATAAAATATACAATAAAAATTTACATCATAGCAAAATGCCTTGGCATACAAGGAACAAGAAAATTTTATATGTTCAAAATAAAAAGTTGTGAGTTTGTATCATTAACGAGAAATAAGGAATCTAAATACTATGAACAGATTTGAAAGTAGGTCAAGCTGACAGGGACAAACACTGATCTAAAAAATGCTTCACGAAGGAATCTGTGTAAGAACAGAAAACATAACAGATCGTTTAAGTTTCTAACCTAAAAATGACATCAGAGGTACATGTCTGAGTAGGCAAGCATGGATCACATATAAATTCCTACAAAAATATGATTCGAGATCATTTCAGGTTTCTGATTACTGGCATATTATCTACACAAAAGAAAACTCTTTAGTAAACCCTTCACATTGATTCTTCACTCCTCATACTTAAATTGCTGTTGCAATCCTCCCAATTTACTGCTGAGCATGTAGTAGACTAATACATGTTGCTTTTAACCTAAACAAACTTGCATACTAAGCAGCTCTGCTTAGAATTTTCAGCTACATTTCTGGGGCATATTAAAAAAGAATATGGTCTTCGTCAAGACCCTGAATGATCGGTTTGAGACTCTGCATGTTCCTAGAACGAACAGATGCCATTGGGCTATGCTAGCACGCAACAGGGATGAACGGAGACATTACTGGCACCCGCTCGAGTAAATCGATGAAGAACGGGGGATCAAGCGATCAAGTGATTCCAAAAAAAAGAAAGAAAGAAAAACAAGACATGTTAGTTCTCAGTTCAAAGAAAGATTTCAACCACTGTTCTGGCTTTTCAAAATTACCTTGTCCGCATCCATCTTTCCTCTGGTAAATTCCTGCTTCCAGAACTGCAGTGCTTGTTCCAATGTTAAGCCGATGCCCTTCAGGAAGAGGCCGTACTGCATTCGGCCGCCGTGACGAAGGTGGTGGTTGTCCCGCAAAGCTTTATGTAACTGGCGCATGCAAGGTGGGAAAGACTTGGTGGAAAGCTATGGGAAAAGAGAGTTTTTATTAGTTTGGAAGATATGCCCCACTGGTATCTGCTGCAAATTCAGGAGATGTGGAAATTCAGACTTACCGTAACGAAAATAACAACCACAAGAAAATATCTTACCGTGACTACAAATGAACTCTTTTTCAGGTCTTTAGTTAAAAAAAAAAAGGTATGTATGTATATATGTATGCATGTATGTGTGTATAAATAAATATATATATATATCACTGCCCAATTTTTTTTCTTTTTTTTTCTTTTTGGGTCACACCTAGCAATGCTTAGGGGTCACTCCTAGCTCTGCACTCAGGAATTACTCCCGGCAGTGCTCAGGGGACCATATGGAATGCTGGGAATTGAACCTGGGTCAGCCGCGTGCAAGGCAAACGCCCTACCTGCTGTACTATCGCTCCAGCCCCTCACTGCCCAATTTTAATTCAATTTTTTCACTTATAATTTCGATTGCACTTTCTCTTCTTCATTAGCCTCCTCTAAGGACGTCCGAAATGCTCACACACATACATCCCAACCCGATCTACAGCAAGTTCAAACTGCCTGGAAGTAGGTCTTGCTTTGCTTGACCTTGCTGTTCCTGTTAGTGACCATCTAGTTCTGTTTCATCCTTTCACAGTGACTTCTAAATGTCTCCTTCTTCATCCATTTCATTCACGCTTTTATGATCACTTTTACTTCTCCCCTCAAACAAAAACATCAATAATAGTCAATAACCTTAGTAGAAACTTGCAAAGTTCCTTCAACATCTGTAGTTAGCTATTTTTCAATTATATGGAACAGAACAAATATTTATTGGCTATTTGGGGAAGCAAGTAGATTAATGAAACACAAATCCCCCCTTTAATTTGGTAAAAAGGAGGGGAAAATAAAGTAGCCACTGTTAACCAAAACTATATAAATCAAACCAATGTAAGTGATACTAGTACTTCACAACCTTCTGATGACCACAACTCATCTCAATCATGTTTCTTTATCATGCTCCTCCATCTGACCAGTTGGGCCCCTCATGAAGTAATTCTCTTTTACAAGATTTTTCACTTGTGCCCCCAGTAGTTGAGAAACGCTGAGTCATCCAATGACTTTTCAAAAAAGGCATAGATCAAATGCCAGGGAAGAACTAAAAGAAGGGTTAAAGAAAAGAAAAACAAACAAACAAAACCCCACAAAAAACAGACACTATACCAATATGAACTGCTTGCTCCAGTCAACTGGGTCATTCCATGGGTCAGGCTCTCGTGTTTTATACCTTCTTACTTTTCTTAAGCTATTAACTTTATTTAGGGCACTCTTCCCTGTCCTTGTGCTATCAAGTCAAAGCCAGACATGTGTCAACACCTAGTTCCACTGTATTACTTTTTATTATTTAACCAGCAAATGTCTGCTGAACACTACTCTGTACACTGCCCTGTGGAATCAACAGAGAGAGGAAAAACACCTATCCTCAAAGAACACACACTCTAGCACGAGGAGACAGCCAATAAATGGAGACATAAAATTTAAAAGAACAGTCAAAATCCAAAAGCACTAAGAGAAAAATAAAAATAGAAATCGTACAAGTGTCAACAGAAAAGAAGGAAGTACTTTAACATGACATTAGCAAAGTCTTTCTGAGAAGATGGACTCACAGCTAAGACATCTATTTTTTTTTTCTTCATCAAACACGTTTCATTAAGCACAAAGCATAACCATAAACAGTGAGACTGAAGCCACTTTCCTTGCCAAGTGTTTGTTTTGGACTACATCACCTTCGGTTCTCCAACTATGAAGTTCTGTAAGACCTAAGGACAAATGGTTGTGGAATTATTTCTGCCTTACCTGTAGGCTATTTCCGTGACTCTAATGCATACATCTTAGCATGAAAACACGTGACCCAAGCGATCTCCATGTAGGAGTTCCGGCAAGTTAAACCAACCAAACCATCGCTGCGCCCAAAACACAGCTCTTTTTCCTACAAGAGGCAGGCTTAAGGACCCACAGATTTAACAGCTGAAATTCATTTAAGACCCAAGACTGTAATGGTAAAGATAATAAAAGCAAAGACACTGCAGAGGCATGAGATTAAGAGGCATTAATGGCAGAGAAATGGTTTGGAAGTGAAAACGTGGACCAAAGCAAACATATCCCACACCCACAGAGCATGTGGAAGAAAGGCTGCATCCACTTGAAGCCTCTACTTCTAGTGGTTGGTCCAAGAGTTTGCAGATTTCACTTAGGAGAAATTCTAAAGTGAGCGTTTGGAGAAGAAACAGAGAATACTAAGGAACATTCTAATGTGCTGATACCTCCTGCAAGGGCTGTGAAGCCAGGAACATTTTCTGTTCTATTCACTTCTGTATCCACAGAACACTGTGTGGCAAATTAATGGAAGGCTCAATAAACAAATTAACAATACTTCTTTGTCCTTCCACATAGTAGTCAACCGAGTTCACATTTGCTTGTAAATGGAAAACATCTTGACAGAACCAGGAATAGAATTAACCTTTCACATAATACAAAGTGAAAAACAAATCACATGACAGGGAAGAAGTGTCAAATGAAATAACTGCTTGACAAACACAAAATATCCTCAAAAACAAATTTCAAGTCGAGGTAGGCGATAGACCGCACCACGGCAAGGCACCCGAGTGTCAATTCTAGGCATGGTAATTGCAAGTACTGATACTATGGTAAACAGGAACATGACTTATTCCTTGCACGTTCAAAAAAACTGATGGGCTCTTCCTCCTCACTGTATTTAATATTTGTTTCCAAGCATTAAAATCCTAGTGTACATTTACTATTGGAAATAGGTAATTGTCTAAACAAAGACAGGGTGCTTTGCTCTTTGGATAAAACAGAAATTAAATTATGAATTAAAAGTCAATATTCCCTTTCTTAGCATAAAACACATCTTTATACTTCTGTAGGTCTATTCAGAGTCTCCCCTTACGTTTTTCTTAACTCTCTTTGCAGTCATTTTACATTTGTTGGATTTATCTGCTTCAAGTACATCTTAAAATGTTATCAACACAGAATTATTCATAATATTTTTTAATTTATATACCTGAACAAATGATAGTTCTTCAAAATTATTTTTAACTAGCAATTAATTAATTTCCTATTTTATGGCATTCCAGAAGTTTAACTCTATTCATTTATATGGGAAGGAAGGAAGGAAGGAAGGAAGGGAGGGAGGGAGGGAGGGAGGGAGGGAGGGAGGGAGGGAGAGTCAATGCCATCAGAACTGAAGATGTCATCTATAAAACTGAGCATACAAGGGCACACACTGAGCTTACATGCGGTGGGGGAGTCAGGGACACTTGTAGGGGGAAGCAGGCTCTCTGGTGGTGTCGGAATGACATATCCATGAAAAGTTTGAGCAACAATATTGCAAATCCCAATATTGCTAATTAAAATGTTTAATTTTTTTGAGGCAGTAAGAGATGTTATTAAAGTTTTTTTTAAGTAAAATTGTGCCCTTGGAATAAAATGGATGAATCTTGGGGTAACTGTGGATTATGCTACATAAAATAAGTAATAAAGTAAAAGACAATTACCAGATTGATTCACTGGTGTGTGTGTGTGTGTGTGTGTGTGTGTGTGTGTGTGTGTGTGTGTGTGTGTTGGGGTGGGGGTGTCAAGCACGTGTATGTATATGTCTCAATGAAAGAGAGAAACAGAGAGAAAGAAAGAGAGAGAACAGCTTCTCTACTTGGTGAAAACACATCTGATTGCCAAAGGGAAGGACAGAACAGAGCAGAGGAATGAGTAAAGGGCCCTTCTGGTGACAGGACTGCACTGAAACTCTGGTGCTAGTGTGATGAGTCCTATAAACACAGAGAGAAAGCTATCGCCTTCAAGGTCTACAGGGCTGTTGACCAACAATTTTTAAATAATTTCCCTTTAAAGAAACTAATAAATTCTATTTTACCAGATTAAAACTTTCTGATGGATTTTCCCTATGAATGAAAGAAAATCCAGCGTAGGGCTGTGCAGGGGAGACAATACAGGGGTTAAGCTGCTTGCCTTCACAGAGCTGGCCTGCCACACAGTTCCCCCATGATTGCAGGGAACTTCCTCAAGCAGCACTGGTTCTGGCCCAAACCACCTCTTTATTCAAATAATATATAACAGAGTCAGAGAGATAGTAAACGATGGAGGGCATTTGCCTTGCACGTGCAGGACCCGGGTTTGAGCCCCAGAACCCCTGAGTCTACCAGGAGTGATCCTGGAGAGCAGAGCTGGGCCTGGCCCAAAAATAAAACAAAATAAAAATCCTATATAATGTGCAGTATATTTTCTGTAACATTGTCTCCCATCTCGCCACCCACCTAAAAGTATCTTGCTGAAAAAAAAAATCGGTTTCTTCACTGATAAAGGTCTGTTTTATTCTTTTCAAATGTCATACTCACCGAGTCAATCTGATCTAAAGAAATCTTCCCAACATTTCTCTGTATACTGTAATCTTGACCAGTATAGGAATGACTACAAAGAGAGAAACAGAATAATATTTAAATATGATTTGGAAAACATTTTTTTAGGTTGCCCCAATTTCTTTTTTTTTCTACTGAATCATCATGAGATATAGTTACAAAGCTTTTATGTTTGAGTTTCAGTCATACGATGATCAAACACCCATCCCTCCACCAGGCCACATTCTCCACCACCAGTGTCCCCAGTATCCTCCGCCTCCATCCCAACCCTCTCCCTGCCTCTATGGCAGACAATTTCCCCCAAACTCTCTCTATCTACTTTTGGGCATTATGGTTTGCAAAACAGACACTGAGAGGCCATCACGTTTAATCTTTCATCTACTTTCAGCTCACAACTCCCATCACAAATGATTCCTCCAGCCATCATTGACTTAGTGATCCCTTCTCCATTCTAGCTGCCTTCTCCCCCAGCCCAAGAGGCAGGATTCCAACTATGCAGAAATATTCCTGGCCCTTGTCTCTACTGTTCTTGGTGTCAGTCTCATATTATGTTATTTTATACTCCACTAATGAGTACAGTCATTCTATGTCTGTCCCTCTCTTTCTGACTCATTTCACTTAGCATGATATTCTCCATGACGATCCATTTATAAGCAAACTTCATGACTTCATCTCTCCTGACAGCTGCATAGTATTCCATTGTGTAGATGTACCAAAGTTTCTTTAACCAGTCATCTGTTCTAGGGCACTTGGGTTGTTTACAGATTTTGGCTATTGTGAACAGTACTGAAATGAACATATAGGTACGGATGTCATTTCTATTGTGCTTTTTTGCATCCTCGGGAAATATTCAAAGTGCTGACCATAATCAGTAAAGTGTATTCTAGCACACAGAGCAATTCAGTCTTGACCAGTGTGTAAGAAGAGAAACAGAGTATGGTAGCATACTCCTATACCATCACCATGACCACACAGCAGATACGGATCTACTCCCATAAATTTCAGCTGCTTGGTCTACAAACTGGTTATAAAAAAGCAAATAGGATTGGCCAAATCAGACAGATTAACAAATACAAAAGTTTTCTATAAACAATCAAACCTGATTATAGTTAGTAAACGAAGTCAAATACTCTACCATAGTTATGTGTGACTATATGTGTCTATGTACATACGTGGGTCTGTGTATATATGTGTGTGTATATCCATATTCCCACCTCTTCCCCTTTCCTCTGGTGCCACTGTGATACCCAGGGGTCGTGTATCCTTGTGCTGTACACACCTTTCCCGGCTATGCTAAGCAGGGATTAGCCAGTGTGTGGTTATTTGCACATGTGAGACAGCAGAGTTGCTGCTGTGTATGAGAGTGGCACCAGGATCAAACCCATGGCCTCAGCATTGCCAGACAAGTGCGTAGAGTCAGTCAGCTACTTCCCTTTGCCATATGGAGGGTTTTCTCAGACGATATGATGCCTTATACTGAGTAAATAGAAGAGATGCAAAAAGGACAAACTTTCATCTTAGCAGCAGTAAAACATGCTTGTAACTCCACAACATTGTCACAGATATGTTGAAGGGACATCTTACACTGGGATAGATTAATAGGAACATGGTCACTGTCACTGTCCTCCCATTGATCATCGATTTGCTCAAGCGGGCCCAGTAATGTCTCCATTGGAGACTTTGTTGTCATTGTGTTTGGCATATCGAATACCTCATGGGTAGCTTGCCAGGCTCTGCAGTGCGGGCAAGATACTCTCTCTCGGTAGCTTGCCAGGCTCTCCGAGAGGGGTGGAGGAATCGAACTCGGGTTGGCCATGTTGGCTGCGTGCAAGGCAAACGCCCTACCGATGTGCTATGGCTCCAGTCTAATGAGGACAGGTATGGAACCCATCACTTAATCACTTAATCACTTAACTTCCCGTTAGTCGTCGATTTGCTCGAGCGGGCGCCAGTAACGTCTCCATTTGTCCCTGTCGCGTGCTAGTGTAGCCCAATGGCATCTGTTCGCTCCGGGAACATGAAGGGCCTCAAACCGATCGTTCATGATCTTGACGAAGAAGTCTGACCATCTGGTAGGTGGGCGGCCACGCGGTCTCCTGACATCCCGTGGAATCCAATCAGTAACAGCTCTAGTCCAACAGTCGTCTTTAAATCTCATTACGTGACCAGCCCAACTGATTTTCGACACCTTGGCAAATGAGAGCGTCCCTGATACTTGATCGTCGACGGATGTCAGAACTCCGGATTCGTTCTCTCATTTGAGTGAAACGTGATATTCCAAGCATAGCTCTTTCTATTCTTCTTTGGGAGACCTGGATGGCGTTCTCATCTTGTTTGCGTAGGGCCCAGGTCTCTGAGGCATATGTTAATGCAGGAAGAACAGTGGAATCAAAGAGATGTGTCCGGAGCCGAAGGTTCTTCGTCCTCTTAGCTATTTCTTCAACGTTCTTGAAGGCGTTCCAAGCCGCTCTCTTCCTCCTGCGCAGCTCGGGTGCCAGGTCATTTCTCATGTTGACCTCTCGACCTAGGTAGACATAGCTGTTGCATTCGGAGATGGTCATTCCATTGAGAGCGAATGGAGCGTCAGGAACAAGGCTGTTTCTCATAAACATTGTCTTTGTAAGATTCAGCTGTAGTCCTACCTTTCCACACTCACGGTCAAAGTCGGCCAGCATTTGTGCCGCTTGGCTGATGTTTGGTGTTATTAAAACAATGTCATCAGCAAAGCGGAGGTGGTGTGGTTGCTGACCATCTATCTTCACTCCCATTCCTTCCCATTCCAGTCGTCGCATGATGTTCTCGAGGGTGGCACTGAAGAGTTTCGGTGAAATGGTATCACCCTGCCGCACCCCTCTCTTGACATCAACGATCACTTCTTTGTAGAATGGTGAGATCCTGGTAGTGAATCCGCAATAAAGCTCACGGAGGATCCTGATGTATTGGCCTTGAATGCCCTGATTGGCTAGGGCTTCAATGACCGCTTCCGTCTCAACAGAATCAAAGGCCTTCTTTAAATCAATGAACATTAAGCAGAGCGGCATCTTGAACTCCCGAGAAACCTCAATGAGCTTTGTTATTGTGTGGATATGGTCGATGGTGCTGAATCCTTTGCGGAACCCTGCTTGCTCGCATGGTTGTCCTTCATCTAATGTTCTGCCAATCCTATTCAGGATGACTCGAGTGAACAACTTGTAGATGACAGACAATAGGCAGATCGGGCGATAGTTGCCAATGTCATGGATGTCTCCCTTCTTGAACAGTAGTACGGTCCTGCTGGTTTTCCATTGGGACGGAACCTTGCATTCAGACAGGTAGCGAGTGAAGAGCCGAGCCAGTGTATTGATGAGTACTGACGGCAGGTTCTTCAGGTGTTCAGGTCTGACCTTGTCTGGGCCGGGTGCTGTTTGTTTCTTTACCAACGAAATGGCGTGTCGGATTTCGGAGGGGAGAACATTGGGAACAACATACCCATCCTGTGGAATTTGGTATGCTGGCAAGTGGACATGGCTGTCAAAGAGATTTGAGTAGAAGTCATGGATAATCTTCTCCATTACCGTTCTGGAGGATATGATGGATCCATCAGGGCGTCGGAGGGCAGTCATCTTGGTCTTATAGTTGGCGAAGGACAGGTGGGCCTTACGAATACTTTTCCCGGCTTCTGCCGCATCTACCAGTACTTCTGCTCTTCTCTCTTTGAGGTCTTCCTTGATCGCATCTCTGCACTGCTTTGCGAGCTCGGACGTTAGCTTGCGGTTGCCTGAGGCATGCGCCAAACCACGCTGGCGAATTAGCTCAAGAGTTTTCGAAGATAGGCGACTTTTTGTGGCTATCTCTCTCTTGGCGTTCCTCGCACATTCATGGAGGTGCTGAACCAGTCGATCGTATTCCTCGTCAATGTTGTCAACAATGGCATCTTCCCATGTTGCCGCAACAGTACCAAAGAGTTCCCAGTTGGTGGTCATTCTGGGAGTTCTCTTTTTGAACTTTGCAGCCCTTTCTCCCCGCTCTGTGAAGTAGAATTTTGCACGAAGGAGACGGTGGTCCGATCCCGTTCGAAATTTTGGGACAACAGCGACATCAGTCAGGCAAAACCGTCGATTGAATATGATGTGGTCTATTTCGTTGTGGAATCGTCCACCGGGAGACTCCCATGTCCATCGTTTAGATTCTGCCTTCTGGAACTGTGAGTTACCATGGATGGTCTTGGTTGACATGATGAACTCTGACAGTCTCTCACCCTGTTCATTCCATTCTAGGCCATGGGTCCTGATGTGAAGTTCTTCAGCTGATCTTCTCGGTCCTATCTTGGCATTAAAATCACCCACAATGATCTTGTAGAAGGTGTGGTCTTCTTTATAGAACTTCTCTAGCTCCATGTAGAACTTCTCGATTTCTCTTTCATCATAATGAGATGTTGGTGCGTAGACAACGAAGATAGGAACTGCAGGCAGTGAGCCACATCTATTCAAATGTAAACGTCCGATTTGGGTTGTTAGGCATTCGAATGAATCAATGCTCTTGGCCAAGTTTGTGTTGACAAGGACACCGACGCCTCCAACACCTCTTTTATCGCATGTTCCGAGGAACAATTCTTCTCCAGTGTCGAAAACGGCATGGTGAGATTCGTGCCTTCTTGTCTCGGTCAGACCAATGATGTCATACTTGATCATTCGTGCTTGTACCATCAGGTCCTCGATGGATGCATCTGATGCTAGCGTACGTGCATTGAAAGTACAGACGATCATTTTTGTCTTCCTTCGTTGTGGCAGCCTAGGTCGGCCTTGAGATTTTGTTGGTCTCTGCTTTCTCGTCCTTCTCAGTGCTGCCATGTCGGTGAAGCCTTCAGGGTCAGGTGAATGAGACCAGTTGTAGTTACTGGTTTTGGCATATCGAATACTCTCGGTAGCTTGCCAGTCTTTCCGAGAGGGATAGAGGCTTTTGGGGTGACCTCTAATCACCCTTGTAGGTGTTACCATATTTGAACCCTATCAAATATGGTACACTACTTCCACTACCCAGCTGTCGCCACACTCCAGGACGCTTTCCGGACCC